GATGGTATTGCTGCAAACCCGACCCGCGAATGTTGTGACAACTTACTTATATTGAATGGCAGGGTCAAATATATAGACAATGGGGTTCGTAAGTATTGTTATTGCATCGAGGATTTCAGTAATAGTCATTATCATCGTCCTTATCTCCAGTCACGAATTCTAAATATGACTAGAATATGTGGTATTCATCGTAGCTTCCCTATCTCTGAGCACATGGACTGCTCTAAGTATGTATACCTTCACTTATTGTATATTTTGGGTTATTTGTAACTAACAATTATCTTTCTTTTTTCTTTTTTTTTTTAAATTCTTTTTTTTTTGTGCTTGCAGGCTTTAGTTAGAGACTTGTGTTTGTGGAAGACTAGCTAGCTGCTGTTCTCTTTGAGTCTCATGCTATATATGTAGTGGCGGCGCCAAAATATTCATTAACGGGTATAAAATATGAAAAAGTAAATACATGAAGAAGTTAAAAAGAGATTTAGCATTGACTATATATACATAAAAGATAATTTTAATTATAGATAAATAGTATAATTTTTTATCAAAGAAAGTTTGAATGAATCCCTTGACCCTACTTGGCTCCGCCTTTGAATGAACTTTGAATTGGAAGGAAAATGATATGTATAGTATTCCAGATTGATTCTACTATGTTATCTCGACAAGGTTATAAGTTTGAATATATATGTAGCTTTGTGTTTAAACTAGTGGCTGATTCAAAATTTAGATGCAAGGGGATTTTGAATTGAGAGAATATATCATGTTTTCTTGCAAATATATTATATCGTCTAACCTCGAAGCACTGAATTCTGCCAAACTTACAAGACATTCCAAAACAAGCTAAAGGATACGTGACATTATATATGACAATTTACATTAAATATAACGTCTTATGTGTATTATGCCACGTAAAACACGTCCACCATTTTTGTACCACCATCAACTGTCACACATCCATCATTTTTTACCACCATCTCGCAATCACTATCGATCACTAATGGCTTAATTATATTAATCTAAAGGTGGTCAATCAAACAGTCTTCGTCAAAAATTAATTTATATATGCATATAAAAAATGATATAATAAATAGATCAAAAATAACATCTTAGAAATATATTCTAATTTAAAAATAAAAATATATTATGCAAATTCAAATACTAAAAAATTAAATAATTTTAAAACTATATATTTAGTATTTAGATCTAGATGTCGGCCACTAATATCTAAATATGTGTATATATTTTCTAATTCAAGCGTCTTAATTAGAATAAAAATAAATGGAGCCTAAGTTTAGAACCAAAAGCATATTTTACATTGTTACAATTTATTCATATCAAGCAAGTACGACATTTGACCAAATGTTCCTCTATACTATTGTAATTTTAAAGATATTATTGAAAAAGAAAGATTTTTTTTTACAAAATGCAATGTGATTGAGATTTTAAAACAAATAGTTTTTTCTTAAATGAATTTGGTAAATATAATAGATTTTAAAGTCGCAACTTGCTTATATCCGTATTATCCCTTCTTTTTAATATGTTTGTCTTATTTTTCTTTTTTAAACAGTTTAAAATGTTTCTTTCTTTTTAAATCTTTAGTTTCAACTTTTCATATGTTAAAGATCAAAATTTTAAAAAAAAATGATATATTCAACATTGTTTTAATATTATAAAAAGAAAAAAAAAAATTTTTTTACTAAACTTCGTGTCAAGTCAAAATCACATACGTAATTAAGAAAGATGGAGTAACTATTAAAAGTACACTTCGTTGTCCAACTTTTAAATTTAGCGTTGACAATAAATTCAAATTGCATAATTCATGCATGAAAGTAGGTGGAACATATACACAAAATTAAATAAATTCATTTTATCTGGACGGCCCAACTTAGACCTGTCCAAATCCTGATATTTTCAATCAAATATGGCGCTTATAAATATTCATTGTTTTTATTGCAAATGGCAAAGAGACAAATTAAATAATAATAACACATCTAATTTTTACGAGTTAGATTTGAGAAGGATAATCGGTACATAATTTTATTTTTACTGTGGTTGTTAACAATAGATAAAGACTCAATAAAAAAAAATAACAAATCAAAAAGAGCCAAATATATAGGTTAATTATAAAAGTTAATTAAACTACACCATCAAATGTTTTTATGCAAAGAGTATACTATGGATAATATATTTTAATATTACGTATTTCTTTTAGTTTTACCTTCCAATAGTAGGTGCCTTCAATAGTTTATTGTGCTAGGTGTAAATAAAAACAAGAGAGGTTTCCTTTAAGAAAACATTTGAGTTATGTAAGCATTTTATTTGGTGAATCATCATTGCATTTCTAGTAATAGAAAAAGACAATGATTGACAATTTGACATATATAAAAATACAATGGAATGCACACGTACATTGATGTTGAATTTCTAGCAATTTCCTTTCGTACGTGAATCTTGTAAATTTAAAAAATTAAAAATTAAAATATGTAAATTTTATTTATATTTTTATGATATGGAAAAGTTATTATCAATAAACTTTTGATTCATAAGAAAAGTTATCAAAATAGGATTGAAAAAAAAATTAATAATAAAATACAAAATAAATAAAACAGTAAAAATAACACACATAGGAGGCTAGCCTCTTAATACCTCTCCCACATATAGCGCAATAACATTTGACTATCTGTTTATCTTTTATTTTAATTTTTGACTTGTATATTTATAAAGCAGAATATAATATTCGACTGTATCTACTTATTTTTTATTTTAATTCTTGACGATCTTCATACAGTTTTATGGAGAGACATATATTAAGTAAGTTAAAATTGTGCCAAATTTTATCTCTATTAGGGAATTTATTCCATTACATAAACTATATATTTTCTCCCTTGAATAATTACATCTATTGATTTGTGTTTCTCCATCTATTGTTTTTAATAAGATTTCGGAAATGACAAAACATGCATGATATTGTTATAAAACGTGCATGTTATTTTCCATTAATTATTTTTAGAGTATTGAAGAAAATATCATATAGTACTAACTACTACGGACATGATTCTAAATAGGAGAATATTATAAAGATCTAAATTAAGGTATAAGTTTAATAGGTAATCGAGCGTTATCTAGTTTTTCTTATCATTATATTAGTATTATTATTCTTTTACTATCTTATATTTTTATTTTATTATTATTACTATTATTTTCCTTCTGTTATCATATTATTATTGTTGCTATTGTTCTTCATTATATTCGATATAACTTCTTTGTTATTGTATTTTCCTTAAGTCATTGAGAACAGTCTTTTTATCTTCATAAGATAAAAGTACAATTATGTACATAATATTTTTTTAAACTCTAAAATTACATTAAATATATTATTGTAATAATACTGCAAGGTATGAAAGTATATCTCAATGTTGAGGTCAAATTTGTGATGGACAAAATGTCAAACCTAGATATGATAGAGGACAAAGCGCCGACCAGAGATATTCTATTAGAAAAATATGTTTTAATTTTGAAAATTACTTGAAGTTATTTAAATTTTATTGTTAATAAAACACCATATATTTAATATTTTTTGCATTCTAGTACCTAAATGTTAGTGATTGTGTGTTCTTTTCATTATTTTGAAATCCTAATAATGTGTACATAATTTTATATGGTCTATTCATTTTGTGTGCCACTTTTTGAAATGTGGACGTAATACCTTATTTATTAAGAAAAAATATATATTATTATGTAAATAAATATGGGGCCTCCTAGCACCAATTATAGTAGCATTACTTTTTGGACCAAATTATTATTTGCTTTTTGAAGGCTCCAACTTGTTAAAATAGTGAATAATTAATATCATCAAAAGTACTATTAAAACAAGAGACAATAAATCATCATAAAAATCAATAGTAAATTGAATATTGTTAAACCAAAAGATAACTATTCATTAGTACACCAAAGAGGAATCAATTGTTAATAAGACTAAAGATAACTAGTTGTAATTTTTTTTTCAAGATGATTAATTTGTGTGTGCATATTATAGGGTTAAACTTTGAGCCAATTGATGGTTTTTTCCCCTCTAAACACTGATTTATAAATGAAGTCGGCCCTTAAAAGTAGATACAAATAAATAGATTGTGTACAAAGACAACATGGACTTTGCATTTTTTTAAAAATAAATTAAAATATTATGAGTTTGCTTTGTTGAACTATGAATTTTTTTAAAAATAATCTATAATGCATGGTTGTTAAAAACTCAAACTTGTTGATGAAGAGAACTGGTTGTATTTTCTTTTGAATATTTCTGTTCAGATATTTCTCGTAAATCAACATTATAATTTTTTATGTAAATTATTTTTTACAGATATTTTTTGTAAATCAATGTTATAATCTTCTATGTAAATTAAGCTCGAATAAATTATATAATACTATAAAATAATAGAATCAAATTAAAAAATATCAAAGCACACCAAATTTTTTTAATAGGGATAAGGCACACATACCTCCTATACTATGACTGAAATCCTAGAGACACATCGTATTACCCTTGAATTCATTTTTTTTTTTTTGTAGTTTTAAACCCCTTTTGACTTACCCACACTCTGTGACTCTACGCAGTTGAGGCGCGTGAGAGGTATTTGGATGCTAAGCCAACAATGTGTATAAAATTACAAAAAAAATAAATTCAAAAAGTAATAAAACCTTAGTTTAATTAAAATATCTCTCAGAGATTTCGATAATAATTTAGGGATACTCGTACCTTATCCTTTTTAATACGATAACGTTGTATCAACGAGAAAAGAGGGTGGGGAGGTGGGGGTGCAAGTTGGCGAAAACGCGTTGCTTTATAGAAAAGAGATATTATTACAAAGAGAAAAAAATAGGTATTATAAATATAAAAATTAAATAAAAACGCGGTTTTGAATTAAAAAAAAAAGTCAGGCCTCAACTTTCATTATTATTCACATGGTCTCTCAAGTCAATGTAATTTATACTTGCACATAATCTTATTGCCCACTCTCTACTGTTTCCTTATTATTATTTTTCATCATAAATAATATCATGCTTTATATATCATCATACTAAGATACATAATTACAAATTTCACTTTTTTTCTGTAAAAGTATTTCAAAATCATGACTGGAGGAAGAGAAATCCTGCACAAGATGAAGGTTTGTTATCTCAATTTTTTGTGTTAAAAATTTCAACTTTTTGTTAATATTTATAAGAAATCAAAATCAGTGTGGAAAAATTTGTATATATGCTGGAGCAATCCGCGCCTAGTCCTTTATATTTATTTATTTATGTTGATTTTATTTTTTTAACTGTAATTTGTGGTATTTTCACCGAAAATAATAATAGATTATCGTAGCAAATCAGTACAGGAAGGTTGTGGTTTCTGCAATCACAAGAATAGAAATAACTTGTTTATTTTTTTGGTCTAAGAAGTGTGATTTCGCTAACTTGTTTGAGACTGAGTCGTAGTAGTTGCTTTTGGATGGAGCATTAAATTTAGGCAAGGAAGTTGTATTGTCTAAGTTATCAAAGATATTTAGGGAATTTGATAATAGGCTGTGCAAAAATTTAGTTAAAGAAAAGTTGGAACTTTATTAGATCAGAGATTTGGCGTAACTGATTTGGGGAGCGAGGGAATACACTCAATTTCAGGTGAATTGTGATTGGGGAGTTTCGGCGTAACTGGTAAGGTTATTTGTCATGTGAGTAGGAGGTCACGGGTTTGAGCAGTGGAACCAGCCTCTTTCATTTTTGTGCACAATAGACCCTTGTGGTTTCACCCTTCAGTGGACCCCGCCCATAGTGGGAGCTTAGTGCATTGGACTTCCCCCTTTGTAGTGAGGTGAATTGTAAATGTCTCTGTTGATGATTATGTTCTTAGAAGCCTCTTTGTCATTTGTATTTTTTTAAACTGAAATGAGGAGAAAGTGAGGGGACATGATTAGTATTTGATTGGAAGTGTTGCGTAGAATTGGAAAGAAGAGGGACTTCAATTATTCGATAGAGAGGCTACAGAAGTTTTCCTCAATGTTGTTTGTTTATGTGTTAGCAGGTATTCTAAGTGTACATTCATCTGAGCTTAGTGTTTATGGGCCAAGCTAGTTTCATATCAAATTTTGAGTGCTTTTTTCTCCTATTTTGGTTTCACGAGTTTTCGTTTCCCATTGCTGCTTGGGGATGTAGGATGATCCAACAAAGTGCATAAAAAATATCTTCAGAACTCTATGAGGATCAAATTATGTATCAACAAGTGAATTGGTGTTTTACTCTGAGGACCTGAAATAGAGAATCATAGAAACTGTGAAGCATTTGATAGGATCCATTTTGAGAACATAGAATGTAAGAGAAATCCAAATGTAAAACAATACCTTAGCTCATCTACATTCAAATATCATCCTTAACTTGGTCTTTCGCTGTTTGTTGTGTGAATTCAGCTGCTATTGAGTGATTGTGTTATGCACAATCGTCCTAATAAGCAAATAGAGTATGATGAGGCGGTCATTGAACTTGCGTTGTTGATAGAAAAGCAAAGGTTTTTTTTTTTCCAATATGAAGATATTTACAGATAGGGTGTATGTACTATGTAGGGCATAAAGAGATTCTAATTTCAATATCTATCTTTATGTGTATCTGTAAATTGCCTCTCATGCATAAAGTTAATCGGTGTACTGATCAAGGTGTCATTGTTCTCACACTAATGCATTTCTTGCATGTCTTTCTCAGGAAAAGGCATGTTTTATGGCTTCAATGCCAGACTCACCAGATACAAGAGGCAGGGGAGGAGCATCAAAGCGGATCACTCATGGTTCCCACCTGGTGAAGGGAAAGTCTAATCACGCGATGGAAGATTGTTTAGTTTGTGAGTTTAAGCAAGTCCATAACAACGATTTGGGACTATTCGCAATCTATGATGGACATATGGGTCATGATGTAGCTAACTACTTGCAGACACACTTGTTTAACAATATTTTGAAAGAGGTAATGCATAATGCACAAGAAGAGTTTGTGTTGTCATGACTCTGTTCTAACTCACTTTTTGTTACATTCCCACAAAATCCTACTGGTCTTTGCTCTCATTTTTGTTATTCTGTTACTCTCATTCTTCTTATTCACATCACCTCTATCTGTGAGCAGCATGACGTTTGGACGGATACTGTGAATGCAACTCGTAGAGCTTATCATAGTACAGACAAAGACATTCTGGCAAAAGCATTCGAATTGGGAAAAGGAGGGTCAACTGCAGTTACTGCAATGCTGATAAATAGTCAAACACTTATAGTAGCAAATGTGGGAGATTCTCGAGCTGTCATATCCAAGAAAGGTGTTGCCGAGCAGCTATCAGTTGATCATGAGCCAAACAGGGAAAGGGAGATAATTGAAAGCAAAGGCGGATTTGTTTCAAACATTCCAGGTAGCTTATGTCTTAATGATTCAAGTTTTAGTTTAAGTCGTCTAGATGATTTCACTCTCTCACGGTGATATTGCTCCATTACATTTGACTGTTTTAAATCGATTCTCTACTCTTCATGCTCAAATTCTAAAGTTCTTGAGGTCTCAAACATCAATCATTCATCTCAATTGTTGGTCTTGATGATTTAGAATTCTCTGTTTGTTGCATTATGTTGTGCACAAGGTGATACAAAGCCTACCAAGTAAAATATACTTTTCATTGATTCGTATGCAACTGATGTAATTCATTGTCTAGCCATAAGTTAGTGGTTGCTTCACACAAAGCTGAAAGTTTTGAATTTTGTAGGTGATGTACCTCGTGTTGATGGACAGCTTGCCGTTGCAAGGGCATTTGGAGACAAGAGCTTGAAGAGACATCTTAGTTCAGATCCAGACGTGGCAATTGAGCTGATAGATAACGATGTAGATCTCATCATTTTGGCAAGCGATGGACTGTGGAAGGTAAGCTGTTCCCTTAAATTAGAGCTAAAATGTCTTGAGGAGGATGTTGTAATAGCTCTTGTTAAACGTTTGCTTCGCGTATTTGTAGGTAATGTCCAACCAAGAGGCAGTGGACTGCATTAAGAACATGAAAGACGCGAAAGCAGCAGCTAAACATTTATCAGAAATGGCGATTTCGCGGAAAAGCAAGGATGATATTTCCTGCATAGTTGTTAAGTTCCAGTGAAAGTAAGTCCTTTTGCAAGTAAAGATTGGGCTGTACAAATTATTTTTGAAATGAAAAAACACTTTTCTGCTGAATAGTGTTTTGTTAAGTTGAAAATATTTCCAGTGAATCAAAGATCAGTGGCCTCCAGACTTTTCCCTTTGTTATAAGAAATTGTTGTAAAATGTATTCATTGTTGAGCACTGTATATTCATTGTCTTAGACAAATATGTTACATTTCCTGTAAGCAGAAGTCTGTATTTGTTGAAATAAGTACTTTAGAAATACAGATGTTGAAGAGTTCTGAGCTAATTCATCTTTGAGCTTGGTTTGCTTACTAACTTTTAGAGCACAAGTGTATACTATGATAATACTGGCTCGTTTGGTATGAGGGATAAAGGATAACTGATTCCGAGATCAGTTTTAGGATGAGTTTATCCCTGAATTGGTGTGTTATTTTTATCCTACATTGAGAATGAGAACAATCATGGGATAACTGATAATTACGCTTAACTAATATTGCATTAGTGTGTGTATTATATATATATGGTATCATTTAGTCAAGAAACCTTAATGATACCGATATAGTAAATATATTGATTCAGTATCAATTAAGCGAAATTATCAGTTTTAATGATATCAATACAATATATGGTACTGATTTAGTATCAGTTAAGCAAAATTAGTTGGAGGTATATAGTGTAATTATTTAGTGGAGTATGAATATAAATGGCTATATGTTTATAATTATTTTATTTTTATGAGGTATTTGCTTAATTTCCCCATAACTAATTTCAAATTAACTTGTTTCTCAACCAAACGAGCCCTACTAGTAAGATGGGCCTTTCCAATCACATGGGCCACGCTGTAAACACTAAAACCCAGTTCATCTGACGTAATTTACGCAAATGTCCTTTTATGGGAACCTATTTAGATTTTGGCCATATTTTAAAAAGATTTTAATGTTTGTAATAACATGCAAAATGTTAGGTTGTGGTTTAACATTCTCTCTTAAGGTTTTTTGTTCGCTAAAAGAAAAGGTGATTGTCATTTAAAAGATCCATAATTTATCAGAGAAACTTAAAGTCAGTATTTTTCAATATAAATAAAGTCTACGTATATTTTATCATCTCCGATCCTACCTATAGGGATAAGAGTAAGCTATGTCTATATTGTATTCTCCCAAATTTGACATATATAATTACACTATTACACTAAATTTGTTATTGTTGTTATTGATTTTCATTAAATAGTTGTCTCAAAAAGAAACAAATGATGGAAATTATGAGCTCATCTGTGGAGAGTAACGGTCCAACCCGGTAATTATGAGTTCATTTTTTTTGGGCCTCAAAATTATTTGCAGATGAAATTTTCAAATAGCCATTATAATAAACTTAATTAGGCTTCTTAGATATAATTTGTATATATACAGATTGTAGCTATAGTGTAAGTTGTTAGACCAACCTCCTTTGTATAAGTCGCGTGTACCTTTGAATAATTCACGTATATGAAGTATTTGTATAATTTGTGTGCATTTGTATAATTGAACTAGTTTTGTCCGTAGTTGTATAAACTGGTTAGTAGTAATTGATTTATATTTATTTTTGTATAAACTCGAAATAACGAATTTATACAAACACAAGCATCTGAACATTAAACAACTATAAATTATATTATACAAATTACAGTTTACAAAAGTTCGTCTATATTTGTATAAATTGGTTAGTATCAATTGATTTGTATTTATTTTTGTATAAACTCAAAATAACAAATTTATACAAACACAAACATCTCAACTTTAAGCAGTTACATAAATTATATACATTATACAAAAGTTATACAAATTATACTATACAAATTTCGAAAACTACACATTTATACAACTGAAACTCGATCGCGTAATTTTACCTAAAATTAATAATGAATGATAATTAATTTTAATTATAACTATGTTAACTAATATATATTTACTTAATCACATAATTTCCCCTTATTTTTGTACCACCACAATTGGCCCGACTTAAAACATCTCAAAGAATCGAATTCAAAATTCAAATGCACGAAATTTTATATGTATATGATACTTCTCTAAGTCTTCTAATTTTCTTTACGCGTACATGTTAAAAACAATGAACTTAATCTCATTTGTCTAGGATATTAACGATTTCACAAAAATGAAAGTTTAGTGAATCATCATTAAACAATTTCATCATTCTTTTAAGATTTCACTTTTAAGTCCACATCCAGCATGTTACTCCCTTTATTCCATATTAATTGATCACTTACTCTTTAAAAAAAATTGAAAATTAAACAAATATGGATGCTTTCAATAAGAATCAATTGCAAAGGTAGAATACAAAAAAATTAAGTAATGATTTCTTGATTTAGTATGGTGGACAAGTAATATGAAACAAATATTTTTAGTAAGGTGATCAGCTGAAAGGTCCCATATTAGTTGATCACTTTCCATTTTACACCGTGCTTAAGAAATCATAAATTAGAAGATGATTTTATATTTACTCCTTAACAAAACTTTTTCATAATTTTATAAACAAATGTGAATACTTTTAAAAAAATTGCAAGATTAATATAGAAAATAATTAATCAATATTTTCTTGATTCACTAAGGTGATCAATATATTTATAAAATAATTATATTCAGTATAATGATCAACTTATATGAGACGTGAGTTGGATTAAACCAATAATGGACACATTAACTTTACCTCAAATTGTGGTGCCATTGCATGAGACCACTTGTTTAGCATTGATACGTGGCACTTAACAAGGATGCCTTATTGGATTCTCCACGTGAGATTCATATAATAATAAAACAGGTGGCACCATTTAAAGGGTAACTTTATTAAAAATCCAATTCCAAACGATTTGCTCAAAACGAGAAACCAAACTCTGCATTTTTATTTTTAACATTTACTTGACCATACAAAACTTGATTACATCACTTACAAAATAGGCACTAACTTTCTTTATCAAAAGCTTACAAAAATACTAATTAACAAACCAAGTACGCCATCATTACCGTACACCAAAATGTTTGGCTAAGCAATTTATATTTTATTTATATAAGTGTGTAGAATGTTGTACGAAAGTATTTGATTATTTAAATTTGTAGAATGGTTTTGGATTATGCCAAAATTCAAGATATAATAAATATTATTTATTTTTATTAAATACGAACTTAATTAACGATTTAGATTTATTGGTTAGTGTGTACATTAATGAGGAGTCATTTTATAAGTCTAAGATATAATCTTATTCTAAAGGTCTAAATTAGTATGACATGTCAAACAATGTAACTCAACATATCAAGTAAAATTAAAATGCTAATAAGATGATGTTATTTTTCAAAACAACAAAGCATATCTAGTCAAATCAAACGTCAATAAAAAGGTATTATATATACAAGTGATTAAATATCCTTACATCACTTTAATCTAATTGATTAAAACGATTTTATCATCATATGAATTATTCCCTCCTACAAATATTTTAGGAATCCTTGTAATTCAGAAAAAGAGACAAAAATTGAAATAAAACACGAGAGAATGCTCGTGAATCAAACATTGTAAATTTCTCTATAAGCAATATTCTTGACAAGTTTCAAATACTGAAAAGTCGAAGGAAAATAAAATTATTCAAGATTAAATTTAACGGAAGCAAATTAAATAGCAAGACGTTTAAGATAAAATTTACTTGCTCGCAGGGGCTATCAAAGTTTTCGTGAAGAATCAAATTCACATCCAAGATTAGTTTCATCCTGTTCAAGATCAAACTAAAAATGCCTTTAATTTTTTTTTGATAAAAATAATTTTTAGAATTCATAGAAATTAACTATCCATTTTCTTCGAAATAAAATGATACGATTGTTATGATATTTTTTAGTCATAAATATTTTCTTGACGTAAATTTTACCGTCTACAAAAAGAATTATCAAATATAGAAATAAATATTAATTTTAAAAAAAATAAATTAAAGAAATAACACGCTCAAATTAAAATTGATGGAATATAATATGGGCAAATTACAGAAATCACATACTTTTAAAGCAAAATTACAATCTATCCCTTAAAAGTTTATAATTACAAAAATCCCTCAAATGGATACAATAATATAAGCGCTGATACATTAATCTGATGCGCGAGATACAATAATATAAGCACTGATACATGCGCGAGATACTAAATATAAGTGCTGATACATTAATCTGATGCGCGAGATACAATAATATAAGCACTGATACACTAATCTGATGCGCAAAAATGAGGGATTTTGAAAATTTATAAACCTTATAAGGGATAATGATAATAAGTAAATTAAAAGGTGGGATTTCTATAATTTTTCCATATAATATTTGTGTGTCAGTAAAAAATATACTAAGGAAACAATGGGTGGTATAAATTTAATTATTTTAAAATAAATTAATAAAAAATTTTAAAAAGAAAATAAAAATATACCGAATGGAAGGAGTATTTATATTTTTGTAACCTAAGAGGCCAACGAAAACCAAAAATGTTGTAACCTATACATTTATGAACAGTGGACAAAATTGAATGCATTACTTGTTATTGCTATATTTAGGTTGCGTCCAAACGGGAAGTATTGGGTTTTAAATTAAATAATTGAGAAATACTATCCATTTAGAGCACAAACAAAAAATTTGCTATTAACTAACATAACAAACATCGTTCAAGATAAGTACAAAATCTTGCTGGTATTTTAAGGGGGAAAAACTCTTTAAAAGCTAATTGAATCTTAAATCTAATTTAATTTAAAAATTTAGGTCAAAATAATATGAAATTAATTTCCAACTTAAAGACTACTAACTAAAGTAGACTTTACCTTAATTTCGATTAGAGAAGTCAATGTTATAAGGCGAAAAACTTAAAAGTGAATTATTAATATATAGAACAGAAGATCTTGCTTAAGAAATAGAAAATTTATAAAGATTGTTCCAACCATATTAAGAGTTCAAGGAAGGAACTCATCATCTCAAAATGGGATTCTTCATTCACATCACACGCTTAGAAAAATTGGATGTCCAAACATAATATTGTCCAATAATGTATGAGTAATTTATTCAATAATTCAATATCAAAAGTCTAGCTCCAATATCATGCTAAATGAATCTGGAATCTATATATATTAATAAAGCTGAAAATGAATCCGCTGATGTGGCATGTCTCATTGGCCTCTATTACTATTTATTTATTTTCTCATAATTTTGAATTTTCTTTCTTCAAACCTTTAAAAAATGAATTATTTCTTTCATTATTATTTGTATTTATTACATTATAAATTATAATGGGTCATCAAAGTGGTCAGAATTAAATTGAAATAATGGGTCATTAAGCTGCTATATGCCCTTTCGATTGCATAAAAGTCTTTAAATTTTTCACTATTTAACGTCTGTTTAATCTATTGCATCTACAAATTAAAGAATTAATTGTTCTTCTTGAGAATATATCTTGATATGAGTAGTTAATGAGACAATATGGAGACTTTGAAGATAACACGGTAAGAACTAAAATAAAAGAAAGTAATTTGTGTTTATTTCCTCAAAAATTATACATGAAAGTACATTCAGGGGCCAAATCTTTACTTTTTTCCCCCTTATTTCTTTTCGAAATTGCAATTTTTCTTACTTTTTCTCAATTTGATGCAATCATAATTATGTTTATGACTTTTTAGTTTTGCAGTTTCATATTATGCTTGAAAATTTGTATTCCACTAACTTTTTGTTTGCTCTCAGTATATATGTATGGTAGAAAGTTGTGTAAATATGTTATTTTATTTATTTTTAATTATTTAGTTTTAGTAGAATAGTCACTCATTTGGCAGCTAATTAAATTAAATTATCTATTATTTTTTCGTATTTGATGAACTTTCTTTAGAAAATTAAAACCATCTTCTGTTTTTTTTCCTTTGTATAATTTATTCATCTATTGTTATGAGTTTTATTCAGTTATGGTATACTTAGAAAGGATGATTAAAGAAATAATATAGTTATGTCTATCTAATTTATGTAGTGTTGAATGTATTCCTCCATATTTAAATATTATTTGGTATTTTCTATTGTAGAGTTAAAAATAAAGATATTGTAAAACTTTGTAAAAATGATTACATTAACTTTTTAAGTTATTATGTTTTTTATGTTTTTTATGTTTATTATATTCATATTTTAATTTGATTCGAAGTATAATATGAAAACTATTGAATGGTGATCGGCTTGTGGGAGTGTATTTTTTCTTTTATTTCTTAATGAATAAGATCATAGGAATTAATAATATTACATTATTTTATTTTTTCATATGTTCTCTCTATGATTTCTCTTTTTGTATATTATATAATAAATAAATATGTCAATTAACCATTCATTCATATATTTAATGATCTTGATATTTATCACTCCCATAACTTTTTATCCTCATAATTCCTAAAATAATTAATAGTCATATTCATGACAATATTTGATATTTCATATTATAGTGTTATAAATTGAGACAACCTAAGCCATAGTAAAAATATCACATTATTGCCTTTTTAAGTTATGTTTTCGGTGCTTATTGTATTCATATTTTTGGGTGATTTGAAGAACAAAAGGAAGGCTATTTGTATGGTGAACAACTTGTGGGGATGGACGTCGTCACATCGAAATGAAATCGAATAATTATGTATTAATTTCATAATCTCTTCGTCTGTTTTTTAATGATTAAGGTCATAAGAATGATGTAGCATTATTTATTTAGTTCGTACGTTTTCTTTATAATTTATCTTTATTTTATATTTTATATAAATATTTTATTATCGTATATTTGATATCTTATCGTCTTTTATAGCCGCGCAAAGCACAGACAAATTCACTAGTTCAATAATTCGAAAGCTAACGCAAAAGTACAAATTATTCAAGTCATATGAAAAGTTCAAAAAATCATCTACCTACCTATGAGGTGGAACTCTTCATCGATACACTTTGTGGCATCTTAAAATGTTTCCTCTTGTAGTTTCTAGAGGAAAGAAAAAGTACAAAAGGGTAAAAGTAAGTTCCAAAAATAAAGTTCACCGGGGCAATAGTAGTTGAGTTAAAAATTCTGTCAAAAGGTTAAAGAAAAAAAAAACTCATAAAAAGAATTTTTAGCATTATTTAGTAATTCAGAATATATCAAATAGGTACCTCTCACAAAAATAATATTGCAATTTTAAAAATAAAAGTTTTAGTGTCATGTGATGATTAGTCCGTCATTGAAGAGATAATCAAGCTTGAATCAATAATTTTCACAATATCAAGCAAGATGACAACTTACTACTCAATTGTATTATTTTTAATGTCCTTTCAAGACGTACTATATATGTTTATGTTACAGTAATAAATGAGAAAAAAAAGACTTCTCTATCACGTAAGAAGGAAGCAACTTAGAGATAATCAAAGCTTGAACCAATGATTTTCACCATATCAAGATACAGTCTATCGCTGAGTTATATCATTTTTCATATTCTTTCAAGATTTTATATGTTACGGTAATAAATGAGAAAAAAAAATCTAGTTAGTCTTTACACTATTAATGAAAATGACTAAAACACAAAAAATGGTAAACCTAAAATTCATAATTAAGGCACAACACATGATTTCAATATATTTTGAGACGTATTATATAGTACAGTAATAGATGAAAAATAAATATAATAGTTAAAAATTCTTTACAGCATAAATAAAATTACTCAACCTCCAAAAAAATATTAGACCTAAACTTCATAACTATGGTGCTAATAACGCATGATTTCAATACATTATTTTCAGATGGTTTTATTTATGTCAAAGAATCAATAATTTGTAGTAGTATAATATAAATTACTAAACTTTCAATGAAAAAAACAATTGAAACCTCTTATCCATTATTTTAATTTATTATATAATATAAATAACACGCTACTCAAGGAGTAATAAAAAGAGGTGAAAAAATAGATTCACGGAAGAAGGATGCTAACAGGATAGTACGATTGTACGAGTCACAACTATCTGAAAAGAAATTTGTACAATAATAATTTTTAAAAATAAGTAAAAAACACTTCACCAATATTTTGAATTTTTTTTTTAAAAAATCAAATTGTGTAGTAACTCTACTCCAACTATTATGTTATGGTCGGTTTTGAATCTAAGCCACATAAATCTATCCTTCAAATTTTAATTCAAATAAACACAATTCTGAAATCATTTTTATAACGTTTCAAAAATTTTCTGTCATTACGATATAGAATTCACCTAAAATATAATTTTTCACCCCTTTTCATAAACTTGTCTTCCATCATGCATGAACGTCATCCAGACCAAAACCCTTAATTAGGTGAGATTTTAACTCTAATCGAACAACATTAGATTCTACTATGGATTAAAAAACTAAAAAAGAGGTGAAATTAGATTAACGGAAGTAAGATTCCCAGCTACCCCCATGTGAGGACATAACCTATCTTAAAAGAAAACCAAACCAAAAAAAATATACTTTTTCTCCATTTTAATTATTTTTTAACCTAATAAAATAAACCAAAAATAATAATTTTAAATTAATAATATAACAAACATAACGTTCTTTAATCTTCTAATTTTTAAACATATCACGTGAAAAGTTAAAAATAAAAATAAAAAATTAGAAACCAAATGCGTGACACATAAAAAAACAAAATTTTAAATTAATAATATAAGAAACGTAACATATTTTAATCTTATGATTTTTAAACAAATCACATGAAAAGTTAGAAATTCACACAAATTGAAATGGGAGTATATAAAAAAAAAATAGGGAGAATATTGTCTTTTTTTCCACAAAAAACTAATATTGCATGCAGAAGAACTATGTATGGAGCTGCCACATATCTCTCTTTGCATGTCAATCCCTAATACTCTTCAGCCACGCACTTCCTTGCCCATCACTCACACCATCCTCGTCACCCTAAAAAATAATTGTGTTTTCCATTAAAATTCATTTCATTTTTTTTTTTGTTTACTATATAATCATCCCTTTGTTCACATCTTTTTTTCATGTCTCCCTCATTCTCCAACACTCTCCCATTAACAAAATAATTCACTTTATAAAAATTTCTCCCATTTTCAATCATGGAAGGCCTTTGTGCTGAATTGCACCATCATAAATTTCATCCCTCTCACCAACTCTACAAGAAATCTCTTCGTGACATTGATATTCCCCCTAGAAAATTACTAAGCCGACGTTCTACTCTTTCATCAATCGACCATGTTGTTTCTGATGTCCAGTTTATGGATTCACCAAAGTCTGTTGGCGGGTTGGGAACTGAATCGGATACTCTATTTCAGAAGTTTTTACCGTATAACAGTTTGGATGATGATGACGATGCTGATCCGTACTCGTCTGACCATTTTCGTATGTACGAGTTTAAAGTGAGGCGGTGTACCCGTAGCCGGAGCCATGATTGGACTGATTGTCCGTTTGCTCATCCTGGTGAGAAGGCTAGACGGAGGGATCCGAGGAGGTTTCATTATTCCGGGACGGTTTGTTCTGAATTTAGGAAGGGGAATTGTAGCAGGGGTGATAATTGTGAGTTTGCACATGGGGTGTTTGAGTGTTGGCTTCACCCAACTCGGTATAGGACTGAAGCATGCAAAGATGGGAAAAACTGCAAACGCAAGATTTGTTTCTTTGCACATACACCGAGGCAGCTTCGTGTTCTTCCACCTAGTTGTTACGAAAGTGGTTCATCACCCAAGAATTTGAATAATTCCCCAATTGAGAAAAAGTACCGAAATATGAACCATTGTTGTGTTTTTTGCCATTCTGTTTCTGCTTCCCCAACTTCTACTTTAATTGGTATGTCCCATATCTCTCCCCCTATGTCACCGTCCCTCTCACCGCCTCTTTCCCCTGCCAATCGAAACCAGTTTTCTTCTCCCATGTCGCGTTACACCGATCGTTTTGGGAGTGTTGAGTCGTCGTCCTCTGGAATGGGTCAGCTCGATCCATCTGGGCTGTTGAGTTACAAAGATGCACTTACTGAATTGGTTAGCTCATTGGAAGCTATGAATGTGAATCATGAACCAAATTCTTCAGCAGCAGCTGCTGCTCATCCTCATTCTGTTAATTTTGATGGGAATTTACCATGGCTGGATGTGAATTTCAACAACAATAATAGTTACGATGATCATCAGCAGTTCCTTCTTTCACCTTCAACTCCATCTCCAAGTCCGATTTCTAACTCGAGAACCAAATTCTACACAAGGGAATTTCCATCTGCTAGCCCTGTTTCGAGCTCGAGGTTGAGCTTTGTTGAAGAGCCGAACAATAACAATGCTACAAACAGATTTTACAGTGACAGTGGATTATGTGGAGGACCAGATCTGGGGTGGGTCAATGACCTACTGACTTGAAAAGAAAAAAAAAGTTATGGAGAGCTCATGGGCCATTGATGGAGCTCGTTTTTTGTGGTCCTACAAATTAAACAATTGTTGATGATGACAGAAGAAATTATTGAGATTTGAGAAGAATGATTTTTGTATATACAAGTTTTTAAGTGTACGGTTTAATTTACTAGTTGCTGCTGCTGCACCATCCATATATAATCCAACAAGAATAAGAGTGTTTAGTGTATATATGAGATGGAGGAAGACGAAAAAGATGAAGATGTGTGACTGTTTTATTACTCTTATTTACTAATTCTGAAAGCTTATTAGATTTTTTTTGCCTTATTTTTAATGAATGTAAGATTTCTGGGTCGTCTCTTGATTATGAAGATGTAATTTTCAATTTCAATTTCCATTTTGTTGAAGGTGAGATTGTGAGGATATTATTGTGTTATATTAAAGTTTAATGTTGAATCCATTGTTTGTGTGTTGTTATATATGTTAGTCCTTTTGCATTAAATCAATGGAGTAATAATTTCTTGCCTTTGTATAATTTGACCACTTTTCTAAGTGCTTCTGGTGGAGTGGAATTAATGGGATTTTCTTCAAATGCTATTTATAGTATTTTTTTGAAAAAATAAAATGTGGATTTGTTATATTTGCTTTGTTTAGATAAAATTCTTGAACTTCGTACAATTCCGTGCAGTTGCTGAAAAAGGAGGATCGATATAATTTGTGTGAATTTTGGGTTTATTTGGATTGTTAGTGAGATACTTGTTGTTTCATATTTCTAGTATACGTCGCATTTACTTAAAATAGATGTTAATATGTCATATTTAGATGTATTTATTGGGGAAAAAATGTTTTTGATATTTGTATTTCACAAAATCAATAAGTAACATTTTTTTTATTTTAATGATTAATTTAAGTAACACTCTTTCTATTTTAATAATTAATTTATGTTCATTGATCAATTTAACTAATTAAATAAATTATTTAAATGATAAATTTACTTAGTCTAAAATTGCAGACATAGAAATAGAAATAGAGAAAGTACTTGATTATTTACTATGTTAGGACCAAATTAATTAATTTTTTTCATGTTAACTCTATAATTTATATGACTTTTAAGAGTTGAAATAAATTTTAAAAATTTAAAAATTCTTTTTTTAAAAAAAAAGCTAATTAATATGAAAAGAAAATTAATTACTTTATTAATAATTTTTTAATTATCGTATAAAGTAAAAACCATCTATTTGATGTAAGGACAGAGAGTAATTAATGATATTATATAAATAGTTGTTCAATTTTACCTTTTTGTTGGGTTTAGAAAATTAATAAGTAATTAAACTCTTTTGAGTCATAAATAGACAAAGTTAAAATGGAAAATATTGTTTATATAGAGGCCTAAAAACGATGAGAGTAATTGTTAAACAAATTAATTAAAGTTGCGGTGGCGTATCAAAGCTTGAAGGTGAGACATGTGGCATCCATGCAGATTGTACAGATGATACGATATTTTGATGAACTTTATGATGGAATATAGTTTGTATTTTTGTTATTTTGGATCTTATGGATATCATCATGACTCCTTTTTATGTTTTTGTTTTGTATTTTCACATACAAGAAAATTATGAATTATATGGAATTTTTTCTAGGAAAAATTTTCGCAACTATTTTTAATGCGGATTTTCTTACAAAATTTTTTAATTCCTCAATATTAGAATTTATTACCTACGAAATGTATATTCCAAACAAATTCCGTAGGTAAATTTGGCGTCATTTTGCGCCAAACATGAACTTGCGATATTACCTAGGGAAGAGTAATGGTAAGTACATTATCTCTAGCTAAATCCGCAGGTACATGAACCAAAAAAATATTTTAAAATTATTTTTTTATTCCATAGAAAAATCTCCAGGTAATCCATCGTACTGATATTGCTGGAGATATTTTGGTGAAAATTTATCTGGAGATTTTATTACTTGGGAAATTATTTGGGGATTAGTTGTTGTGAAATTTGTTGAAAATTTATATTTGGGGATTTATCTAGGAATTTATTACTTGGAAATTTTTTTGGGGATTAATTGTTGCGAAATTTGCTGGGGATTTATATTTGGGGAATGACCTGGGGATTTTATTACTTGAAAAATTATTTGGGGATTAATTTGTTGCAAAATTTTCTGGGGATTTATATTTAGGGATTTTCCTAAGAATTTTATTACCTGGAAAAATATTTAGGAATTTTTTGCTCCAAATTTAGCTGAAAATTATTTTTTGAGAATTTACGTAGGAATTTCGTGACTTGAAACTTTAACAAATTACATAAAAACATTAGATTAACATTAGTAAAAGATATTTTAATAGGAAAATGTTTGAATCGAAGATATACCTTATTAATGTGAAGTTCAATTACCCCCTCGTTAATAGAATTATATAACATGAAAAATAAATATTTTTATTTATATATTCAATTGATATATTATTTTTGACCAATATTAAAAATGATAAAATTTCTCTATAATATTTATTTCCAAATATATAATTAAGTATAATTATTAAAATATAAATGTAAATTGTAAATACCACACATATCTAACAAGATATACTATCAATTATTGATTATAACTTCCTTCCACATTAAAGTTATAAATATATTGATATTTTTAATTATTTATTTATAAGAATTTTGTATGTATAATTTGAATTTTGTCTACGTTTATTATGCTTAGTGATGGATATTATCTCATAGAAAGTGTAAACATAAAATTTTCATGATATGTTTTGTGGTAGTGATTTATTTTAAATATATAAATAATTTCCAAGTTTCATTTTTTAAGAGTTAAATCACATGAACTTTAGCCAATATTCAACATATATTTCGTTACCATATTAATATGAGATGACTTTATAGTTCTTTTTGTGTAATTTATAAATATTAAAATTATATTATAATACTCAATTAATTTAATTAAATTTAGCTTTAAAAATTAATCAAATCGAAGAAAAACACTAAAAATTAGTGTAATGACATTAGTACTAGTTGTACCACATCGACGGAATACACTAAAAAAATTTCATATATAATATGACTTAGATTATTATGAGAATGTAGTAATTAGTATAGGTTGAGTTGGGTAGTGGGTTGGGATTAAGTAGTGCATTTAATATAGGTGGAAAATTGTATTACATACAAATAATCAAGAAGAGGTGTATATGTGGAAAATTGAATTAAATATAAGTATTCAAGTAGAAGAGGTGGTATGTGTATGGGGTTTAATAAATTAAATAATAGGTGGAAAATTGTATTACATACAAGTAATCAAGAAGAGGTGTATATATGGAAAATTGAAATAAATACAAGTATTCAAGAAGAAGAGGTGGTGTATATGTGTATGGGGTTTAATAAATTAAATAATTAAATAGGAGATAATAATTAATATTTACTTACAAGAAATTTCTTAAAAAATTATTAGAATATCTTCATGCGGCTTTACTTACGGAAAAAATGATATAAATTACTTGGGGATTTTGAAATTCGTAGGAAATAATTACCTAGGAAGGTTTTACCATCGGATTCTTTTTGGTAGGAAAATTCAGTTTCCTGCGAATTTCTGTATACAATCCCTAGGAAAATCTCCAAGTAATACACACTTTTCTTGTAGTGTTTGGTATTTTTTTGTTTAATTCGGTGTGGAAACAACTTTCGAGTTTTTTTTTATTAATTTGGGATAAAAATAATTATGAGAAAATGGAGAAGGGTTGAGTTTTAGTCTCAACAAAATTAATCTTTAATTGCTACAAAATATCTTTGATTTATTTTGGTTAGTTTTTCATTCGATGTCCGATATTTAAATTAGAGTTTGACTAAATCTGAATTTGCATAAAAAAATTTATATTGAGATAAAGCACTTTCTAAAAATTCTATTCACGAAAAATTCAAACTCAAAAAATTTAGTTAAAAATAAAAGAATACCTAATTACTTACAAACCCTTATTGGTAAATATCATTGATTCGTTGTATGCGCTTGAACAGTTGAACTATTTTTCATATTTATTTCATAGTGGTAGTAAATTTTTATTCTCATATGACATATCATGAGAAAGAAAAATGATTTTTTTTATTGTTGTAGTAGGTTAATTTAATATATAATAATAAAAAGAAAATTTATATTATTAATGCACAAAGTTTGAAGTATTGCGGGTTTATAATAAGTTTTAGACAAACTTATTATTTGTCATTTTTGTCACTATCACAGATGGTGCCATGGTGGTGAGAACATAAGTGGTAAAAAATTATATTGAGAAGTGGTAAAAGAAGAAATGGATACAAAATAGAGCTTATTTTCTCACTATTATTTTCAAAAAAATATTTATATTTATATTTAATATAGATAAATACTATGAGAGATTGACGTGAATAGGTGGTGAGAATGGAGTGAAGATGAGGTGTATGTTGAAGGCTGGGACGACATAACTAATGTAAAATATCACTCGAGTTTACATGGAGCATTTTGTACTTTCTACTTTTACCCGCGAAAGTCATATTTTATTTTTATTTTAAAAAACTTCTTTTTTAAAAAATAAAAATTATATTATTTAAGACCAATCAAATAAGAAAATTGAAAAAGCATCTTTTGAAATCTTTCAAAATTTATTCGGAGAAAATGGTCAAATGCTCTTCTAATCTATTATCGGATTCTTAACTACACACTTAAACTTTACGGGAGTCCTATAACCCTCCCCCCCCACCCCACAAACTATTTAAAACTGAAATTATCATCTCCCTAAACTCTTATGTGGCAAATTGAGTGTATTTCACTCTCATTGAGAGAGTGAGCAGCAAAATCAAATAGTAAACTTTTATTTTTAATATTTCTTTCAGAAATACTTGTATTTATAGTTATTCTTTTTTCTTTATTTGTTTCTTTCTTCTTCATTACAACATAGACCAACTTCCACCACTCACCATCTCTAAATCTCCACCGCCACTATTTTCTTCATCATCGCCGTCACTACCATCTGTCCATCTCCACATAATTGACAATGAAATTTTAGTATTCCTCTTGATTCTTGAATTTTTATTTTTCAATTTGTGCATGAAATTAGAAAATTTTGAAAATCAATTCCTTAATGATATTATTGGAGCTGTTAATCATCACTTTACATGCCAACCCACAAGGCAGATTGTGTTGGAAATTCATATCTTGATTATTCGATGCCTCAATTTGGCAATTTTATTTCAAAACCCAAAATTTTTTTTGGGTTTTCAACGAAACCCACATGTGATTTTGAGAATGAAATTGGATAGATCAATGTCGCATTGTTATGTATACATAGCCTCAATTTGAGCAATTTTACAAATACATCCATAAAAATTATCTAGTATCAATTAAATAGTGTAAAACGCGTGGGTTTCACCCGTCAATATAAATGTTGTTGTTGAGTTTTAAGGGTGTAATAATTTCAGTTTTAAACAG